TACATCAGGGAAGAAAAGAAGGACAGTACTGTTCTCTTCATCCTTCAGCTGTGCAATACAAATATTTTTAAACAGAGAGTTAATATGTAGAAACGGCTGCTTTAAAACTTGTCTAAAGAAAATCTACATCTCTCTGGGTGTAATTGAGCCAGAAAAATATGGTGTGGGCCCTGTCTTTGATGTCTTGCTGGATGGAACTTACCAAATGATGATGGCTTAGCAGTAAACATCAACACTGCGAGTTTTCAAAATTAGAAAGCATCATTCAGAAAAGCAGAGATCAAACTGCAAACATCACCAGATACCTCTGATAACTCACTTCTGAATGGACATCTGCTGCTACTGAGACTCTGCTGGAGGCCCAACAATTCAGAACTGTGCTGAAAGCTTGTGCCATAAAGGTGGGAGCAGTGGACAAACTCTCATCAGCAACAACAAGTAGCTGTCCAAATATTGCATGATAGGCACCATTATAAGAACATGGAAAAGAGGAATGGCTTTAGTAGAGATATAAATAATGCAGACAGACACAAACACATAGGCTGTGTGAGCTGAAAGAGGCTGCCTTTCAGGGCAGAACAGAAGTTATTTGCAAAAGGGTAGAAGAATATGGATTATAAAATAAGTGTTGAAATGCTGGTATTCCATAAATATGGTAAGAGTAGTTTATCTGCAGGAGGATTCAAAGACCAAAGAGAATTTCACATGCAGAAATTCTGGAACTCAACTGTGGCTTCCCCCAGTGCGAAAATTGAAAGCAGAGACTTGATTTATTTATCAATAAATCCACAGCATAATTGAACATACAGGAAAAAATAGCATCTGAGGATAGTTGAAGAAATATTAAACTACCCCCCAATGTTTGCTGAATCTCCAGCTTTGTACCAGCAAATTTCAATGTGTTGGGACACCAGTGTGTAGGGAATGGGCTCTCTCAGTGCAGGGGAGGAATCTGCCCAAAACACTCTATTCCTTTCCTCTGTTGCTGCCTTTACAGACCTTCTGAGCTCCATTCTGGGGATTCTCTGTCTCAAGCCACAGACTCTGTGGTGCTGGAGGAGAACATGGAAATGCTGGTCATGATGTTCAGAGAGACCCTTTTGTGTGCTCCTTTCAGCTCCAAACATGTTCTTGCTTGTGCACCTCAAAGGGTCCCTTCCTTGACCCTCCCTGGACCCCGCAAAAGCAGAGACAAGAACAGACAGAACCAGAACTTCCCACCATTTCCAGGAGATACAATACAGGAAAGGCTCTTAGGGGATGGGTAGCAGAGTATTCCCCAGTTCTGCCTCCCCCACCTTCAGCATCCCTACTTCTTCCTTGTCTAAGTTCTGTACCTCTGTTAAAACAGCTGGATCTGGAATCATCAGAGTCAGCAAAAAGACACTGACTTGTTTTACTCACCTCTGATCTTTGCAATGCCAGGAGCCACGTTTTTGAGTTTCATTTTTGCATTTTTTGTTGCTTGTTTGTATGGGTTTTTTAATTAAAATTAGGGGGTGTGTGCAACTACAAAACTGTGCAATTACAGCACTTCAGGAGCTGAGGAAGGTAGGGCTGGCAAGGAGCTTAAAGGACATTTGGTGTAAGTCCACCTGTGCTGAGGAATGCAGATCACGTATCCCCAACAAGGTTGACAGCTCTTTTATCTAATCTGTTCTTTAAAACCCCAAGTAATGGAGATTCTACAGACACCTTAGCAGCCTGTTCCAGTGTTTGCCTAGGTTTATAGTTAGAAAGATAACCTAAATCTCCTTTCTGGGAAATTAAAGCAATATTTCCTGCCCTAACCTCAGTGGATAATGGATTACTATCTTCCCTCAGTAGCTTCTTACTCACTGGAAGTCTGTTATCATACTCCCCTCAATTGTGTACAGGAAACAAACTCAGTTTCTCCAAACTTTTCTCGTAGTTTATAGGTTTCTATGTATTCCTGTTCCTGTCCAGTGGGACTGAACCTTTTATTTAAAAATATGGTATTAAGCCAGATTCTGGGTAAACTGGTAAACCTCCAGTAGTTCTGAGCACAGCAGAGTAATGATGTTTGATATGTTACAAGCAGTGCTACTGTTAGTACATTTTACAAGATTTTCTTTCTTTCAAGTACATCTCGCTTCTCATTTACTGGGGATGTTATCACCTTCAGATCTTCCAGGCTTGTCCTGCCTTTTTGGTATGTGGGGATCTGGCTTCTCCAGCCTATATATAGTTCTTTTGATTTCACTTGAGTGAATGTGACCTTGTTAAATTGGAATAATTTCCCTGGTTTACCAAGAGCACTAGTTCTAATTGTGTTGCTATAGTATTTCCAGTCCCTTCCAAAATGGTGTCATTTGCAAATATTATAATACCTAATTTATTCTTTCCAGTTATAACTTGTTTAAAGTTAGGATGAGAAATACGTGGGTTTTTTTCCATTTTCTTGAAAGCAGGTACTATATTTGCCCTCCTCTAGTTTTCTGAGACTTGACCTATCCTCCACAGGTTCTGAGAAATGATAACTAATAATTATGAAATTGCACTGGTTAATTCCTTAACTGCTTTAGGGGAACAGGTCTTGCTATCTAGAATACATGCAACTTAACTAAATCTTCTCTAATTCTTTCTCCATTCTAGTTCACACTCCATTGCCCTCTTAGAACAAAAGGATCAAGTTACAATTAACCTTTTTTGAGGAAAGACCCTGAGATAGCATTTCAGGAGTGAGCAGAATCGCTACTGCATCCTTTTGGCTCCCTTCCCCCTTCAAAGAAAATCCCAAAAAGCTTGTGAGAAGGAAGAATTAGCAAAAAGTGAAGTGAGAGATACCAAAAGCTGTTATGGCAACTTGAACTCTTCCTTATTTATCTCTTTGTGTTGTCTGCTAGACTTCCCTCTTTGTTCTAATTAATTGGCAAACTACTGCTAAAGTAATTCATTTCTCAAAACTTATTTATTTTACCTCACAACATTTATTTGCACAGCACTACAGGTTGTGTAAAAGATTACTCTTTCATGGAGTTCAGAACACCCTTGCACAGCATGCATTTCTGTTCAGTCCAAAGAATACAATACACCATATACTGAGTCTGTAACTCAAATTAATCTTATTTGGTTTTACCCTGCTTGATTACCCTTTATGTGCTTTCTTAAAGTCATATGATTTTTTCCTTATTATTTTGACTATTTTAATTACTTGCTTTCTCAATATATTTACAAGGATATTCCCCAGCTCTTTTCAAAACAGTTTGTATTAACTAACTGGAATAGATTTGTTTTTACAAGAACAAATTTAAAAGAACAGTCTTTTTAGATCTCAAGTATGTCTTTAATTAAAAGTGAGCCAAAACCAGTAACTGCACACTTTGAAATTTGGGACATTGGAGGAAGTGTTGGCATTGTTTCAGCATGTCTGGATGTGAACATACTCCATGTGAAGGTCTGGTTTACAGGTTATCTGGGCTGCAGCCATGCAAAGCACAGCAGGACAATACATCTGTATATTTTTGGAGAATGAGTATAGACATCTATTGGCAGCGTTGATCTGAGCCTCCACTCAGGTTTGATCTTGGGAGCTGGCTTACAGACATAACAGGAAAAAACCTGCAGGACTTGAAGAGGAGTGAGCATCACCTGCAGTAAGACTGGAATCTGTAACCTTGGCAGAGGTAGAGGACACCACTACTGAGCCACTCAGACCTGGTGCAGTCAGTCTGGGGCACTCCTGGAGAACCAAAAGCCTGATCTGTCTCGGCGAGGGCGAATTAGCAATGAAGGTGGTCCCATGCTGCCTTAAGCAGATCCTGGCAGTCATTCAAGTACTCAAATCAGCTGCTGCGCTATCCGTACCCAAACCAGCCAGGATGAGCTGTGGGAATGTGCCAGGCCCATTGCAAGAGAGGAGTGAGTCTCGGGAGAGGTGTGTGGTGGTGCCCCCAGAGCCAGGCAGGGCAGCACCCCCAGAGCACAGCCCAGCACTGTGGGATCTGCTCTGGGAGCTGCCCCAGCCCTGCAGCAGCAGCTTTGACCTCCAGCTGTGCTGGTAACAGCGCCAGCACCAAGGAGTCTGAGGGGTCTGTGGGTGCTGGGAATGCCATCTGGACTCTTGCTAGCCAGAGGAATGCACCTTCTCTACTCTGACTTTGCAGGTTGTTTCCCTGAGGACAGTGGAACAGGCCAGGGCAGAGGAGTCACAAGGGGGAAAACAGATGAAGCTGTGTTTTGGATCTTATCGTTGTTATTTAAGTGACCAGTTAAGCCAAAGCCTGTCAGTGATAGATAGGAATAACACCTGCCTGAGCTGAAAACGGGAGCCCCAGTGACTTTCCCATACACTGCAGATAAGCAGTATCTTGCTTGGTCATAGATGCACGTGTTAACACTGCTATTGCTGCCGGTGTCTGAGAGGGCAGCAGCCTCCATCTGCACATCCAACAGATGCACAGATGCTACTGGTACCTCTGCTTGCTAGATAAAGCCAGCCAGTAATATCAGCAAACTCCAAGCTAGCTTTATCTAACTAGCATGGATACCAGTGACATGAGAGGGCACGCAGAGCTGCCCTCACAGATACTGGCAGTAACACTGTCAAATGCTCAGTTCAGGGTGAAGATGGCTGTTGCCAAACATTTTAAATGCAGAAAGAAAGCCAAGTTATTTATCTTATTTTATTTACAGTAATAGGGAACTGTTGAACAGCATGTAAGTGCTCTACAATAAAATCGATAGGGAATATTAAAAGCAGAAATAAAGATCAGCCAACCTAAGGAAACTACTAACTTCAATGAAAGGATCTAACAAGAGGGCAAACTGAACAGCTCAGGAAAACCAACCCACCAAAACAAAAGAGAACCGTTCTCAGGTTTGATTAGATAAATCCTCAGCCTTTCACTGAAACAAATTGCCCTTGACATGATGGTTTCTCTGAAGCCCTTAAAGGGTTTTTTTTCTCAGAAAATGCTTGAAAAATTTTCATAATCAAGGACCTGAAAATTCATAATCTCCACTTGATCTGTTCTCAGGTGACTATAATTCTAGAAGCTGATTTATCTGCACTGATACTACAGGACTGGAAGAAAAAGAGAGCATCTAACAATTCAGCAAGTTACTCTGTCCCTTCTGAGGTAACGTGAGTTTTGCCATTGGTCTTAAAATAGTGGCAGAAATTCTTGCCCCATGTAGAGGGATGTTAGATTTCTGAGTGTAGAATAATGTTTTCCTTTCAGACATGGCTGGTGGCTGGTACTCTAAGTCAGCGTGACTGAAAGATTCCTCTTTGCTAAAGATACTCAGATTTTGAGACAAAGTTTAATGGGCAAAGCTCAAGCCTGACTAGAAAAGCTGTTATCCAGATCACTAACCCAGGCTAGTCCAGTTTGTGAACGATCTATGTGATAAAGTACCAAGAAATAGTTTTTAAAAAAACAAAGTTGTGTTTCCTGTCAGGCTGATTTCTGCTGGTTTAACTGGACTGCGAATGAGCTATCAAAGACAGCCACTCATTAGTGCAGGTTACAACAAAAGCCACCACTATCCTTTGCTGAAAGCCCTCTCAGCAATTGCCTGATCCTCTCAGGTTGTTTTTAAGGGCTGTGTTAAACCAGCTACCTCAGCACTTCCTGCTGTCATTACAGCAACGGGTTAGAGACAGCACCTGCCTTGTTTCTAACCAAAGACTGTATAAATTTGGGAGGACAACAAAAAGAAGAAAACTTGCAAGCAGGTTGAAATCTTTAACCTGAAACTTTCAAAAGCTGTATTTGATCCAAAACAATCCTTTTGTGTGAAAATCTGACTCCTAAAAAGTTTCAGAGCTTTTCTCAAAGGTAGAAATTTTGAATTATCATTGTTCAGTAGTAGCTGTTTCTTAACTGTCATTTCCTTCATTCTTTTTTTCCACTGAATGTCTTAAAATGAATGATCTGATGGTTCAATTCTTTACTTTTCAATTTTTCTGTTTCACTATTGGTAATTTTTCTTGTTCTAATGCTTTTCAAAAATTTTATTCCCCTCTGGTTAAGTTAAAGGACAGAAAGAAATTTTAAAAATAACTCAGTCTCTGGCTGGCAACCAAAGGGTTCCACATATTTTCAGCTGCACATTCCAATTCCACAGATCCCAAATAATTGTCCAGGTAATTGTATTGGAAGTGATTCACATTCCTATTCATAACTGCAAGGCCCAAAAAAACCCAGTGAGTAATGAAAAAGATTGTAGTCATTGCTCATACTGAGAATGGCCTGTTCAGCAGAGAAAGAGGGGTAGGAAGGGGAAAGGTCCAATGAGGAAATATTAAAAGTCAACTTCAGAAAGTTTTTATTAAGATGATAAATTAATATTTGCATAAAAGAGAGAAAGTTTTAAAATATGAATACACAAACACATTTGTGCATTTAAAGGAGATGCTTCAATTCCATATCATAGTTCACCTAAAAATTCTATATCACAGTAAGCAGTAATTATTCTGGCTTTGCATATTGTAAACCTGGTCACTGTCATTCTTTCTTTGCCTCCACATGCCTCAATGCCACATTTTCTACAATCGTGGGGAGATTGCCTTGGCTCTCACTCAGCTGGCTCAGCTAATGCAATTCACAGGCCTTCAAATGTAAGCTTGTAAACTATTTAGTTCTTTTTCTCCCTAACAGCTTGTCTATTAACAGCTCATTGAATGGAGGAGGAAGAAGAAACTAGTGAGACCTCTCTTGGTATTGTTCAGCAGTGACCCTGGCTTCCTCAGATTGGTGGCCAATGCTCACTAAACAGCCTTTGTCAGTACATGTTGTTTTGCTGGATAATAGTATATTGTGCTCACAGCAGTCTCTATCAGCAGCAGGTAACAATAAGCTGGGAAATAAGTCTCCTGTGTGGCATGGTAAGGTCATATGAATGATGTATAAAAATCCAAGAGAAAGCTCATTAGGATGGTCTGTGCGGTGCAAGAAAGCCTGTGCCATCTTGGGAGACCTTTGTCCGCACTTCCCTTGTGCATTGTTCAGGATCCTCATCACTGCTGTATCCTCCAGCTTCAAATGGACCTAGGGAATGAGGAAGTTTTACCCCTCCATATGTGCTGTATGATTTTCAGGCTGTATGTCCACTGCTCACAGCCTGTATTTCATGAAAGGTGAGTTTTGTCAAGATAACCAGGCTCGTTAAATCCCAGGACAGATGCACCCAGAGACTGCCCACACCATGGGCCATGCCCGTTATTTCTGTAGCTGTAGAAGGCTATGAGAAAATGTTGCAATGAGAAATGTGATGTTGAGAGGCCTGGATCCTGCTCCAGCATTGCTGTTCCCCTGTCCCTGTGCTGAGATTCCGTGTTGCTGTGCCATGCAATGAGCCTGCTCACCCTCTGCTTTCAAATGGATTATGTAAAATCTACAGTATTTTATTACTGATGTCTGAGATTTCTTGAACTTTTCTTAGTGTTCTATATGGGAACACCAGCACCGAGTTGGTGGCCCAAACAGTGCTTAATAAAGGGAATCATGCTTGGCACAGATTTCCCCACCACCAAAACCCGACGTGCTGCACTCACAGCCCGTTCTGTTACAGACACATCGTGGCTTCAGCTTGGTTTTTTTGCTGCGCTAAGTGTTGCAGATCTTGTGTTATCTCTCAGACAGACTGACAAAGCGGCAGAACGGAGAAATCAGGTTTCAAAGCGAGTGATTTATGGAACACGAACTTCTCCGAGCGCGCATTGAGACTCCCCCGTGTGGCACGATGCCGATGCCGATGCCGCTGCAGACTCAGCCCGCCGGGCTGGGGCTGCCCGCGCTCACAGCGATTAAACGCGGCCCAGAGAACACTCCCATGCTCAGAATTGGCCATCAGTTTGCAATTAATGTTGACCGCTGGAGCATAATGTTGTTCCGTTGTCTTTCTGCTGCAGGGAAAAAAAAAAAAAGAGTGTAATATTTTACTAACTGTGATGCTTTGGAAAGAATTATGAGGTCTCATATTTCTTTACTATGAATTAGTCTTAACAACTTCATTCTCGGTTTCATTTTTCCCCAACAATGTATCTTAGGATGATGCCTTTAATAGATGTTAAAATCTATTTGGACATCATTAGTTATTTTAAAACTTGGAATTATAAATGCATGTGGATTAACAGAACAATTCAAGGTTCTAAACACATGTTAATTATACTCCTCTTTAGGTCACTTATGATAAACAGTCCTGCTTTTTGTCTTAGTTTTCTGTTCAGAATGGAATATTTTTACCCAATATCTGCATAAAAAATGTTAATTAAAATTTCTTCTGCTATCTATTGTATATCTTAAATGTATTTTCTTTGGCATGGACCAGAGGAAGCAATTGTGTTCTTCCAAATTAAAGGGTTTGACTCTGCCCTATATTATACTGTCTCAAATCTACCTGTCAGCTGGATGAAGAGATGTTACATTTACACCAGCATAGACAAAGGGAGAGTTTGGCCCAAAGTGTTCATTGTTCTCTGGAACTTGGCATCCTTTCTCCCATTCTCTTGAAATCAACATAAAACAGATGCTGAAATTCTAAAATGTTTTAAACCCTCCCATACTGTAGCTGTGAGCACAGTGCTCTGTAACCACCAGACCTTGATGGCACAGAGATATGCATCACGAACATGAAATCTGGGTAGAGAAGATAAGGGCACAGCCTTGCCACACTCCCAAAGTAGCAAAACACTGTAGAAAGTAACAACTGCATTTTTGTGGTATTTGCTTACATCCCTCTTTGCACTGGCAAAACTTTGAGCTGGACCCCAGTGGGTGCAGTTCCAGGAAAGTGAATTGCAGTGGAGTTGTGCCCAGCTGCAGTGGATCCGTATTTGATGACAATTGAGAAGATGAATGAAAATCGTTTCGGCTGCATTAGGGATGTAAGTTGTCAGGGATTTGGATTACTGCTTATTCAACTTTTTGGATGGCATCTTTGCGCTTCCAAGAAATCCTTTTTAGACCAGGCATCAAGGGGAGACAGGATGAACTCTGGCAAGAAACTGGAGTTTGCAGACAAGTAGCTCATGCTCCTGACACTGCTGTTTGGATGGAGAGCAAGGGAATGTAAAGTAAAACTCGAGAAAACAAAGGATACTTTGTGGTTGTGCAGTACTGCCAAATCACAGTGGCCTGGATACATTGTTGTTGTTTATCTATTTCCATCGGTGCTCAGGGGTATGTATTGATCTGACTCGCATTCATGTCTGAGGGGTCACTGTGGGTATCTGATTTTATCCCTTTCTTTGGAAGGTTTATTAATATTGACACTGCTTCATTTAATTGGGGCACTGACTATGGAATCCCTTTTTAATGGAATCATATTAGCTAATGTACTGCCTGTCCACACTCAAATCCAGAGTGCTTTACACAAGTCCATATTTGAATAACTGCTAAAAATAAATCCCGAAACTAAAAACACAGATCTGTGAAACCAGAGAGGAATAACAAAGACAGAACTATGCTGTAATCTGCAATCTGCATTTCTCTGTTGCAACACGGGGACCCAAAATAAAATAAGAGTTACTTGTCCCTGTAACTCACAAAAGTTACTTCTTTCCTTGTTCTGTCAAGGCCATTCTTCCCCTTCTCCTCCGCCCCCACCAGGGGCTGCATTAGTTTCTGGAATGTAATTAGTCACATCTGTACAAGCTATTGTAAGACATTTCCAACTAAAAAAGGCAGCCAGAACTTAGAAGTTTGCACATCATCTTATTCCTGCGCTCAGAGAGTGTATCTCCGAATGAATATGGGTATGGCAAATGTTCCTCTTTAGCTTTCTCTTCTTTCCTTAAACAGATTTAGAGTCTGGTTCTACCATTTATAGAACAGATTTTTTTCCCCCTTAAAGTGCCCTCCTGGGATTACTAGGAAAGTGTTTTTTGCAGTCTGCTTGATTGGTCCTCATTGTGGAGCAATTTCAGGGGCCTGGCTTTGGACACCATTTGCAATGGGTTTATAGCAGAAGGTCATGTCTTGTTACAGAGCCATTATTGCCTTTCCCCTTGGGACCATTGCACACCTGTGACTTTACCCTTCACCAGTAGCTTCTGACACATCTTTTTGACATCCATGCAGGAGAGCAGGAGCATATTCCACTAACTCCTTTGGCAGAAAGCACCAGTGGAGTGAAAGAGGGGAAAGGAACAGCAGAAATTCCGCCTGCAATAAATTTATTCATTCTCACCAATTTATTCAGAGGAGAAAAGATGGAGTCTGATGTTTGTCTTGTAATGCATGAGGGCTTTAAAAGAGTAGGTATTTCATTGTGATACAGGCTTTCTGGAGTCCTCTGGAAGTCAAGGGGTGTGGAAGTTGAGTTTATTAGAGACAACAAGATTGCTCATATTAACGGTGTCTATAATATGTCTAGATCCAGCACACCACACCCCCTCTACTCCCTACAGCAGCTTATATTCAGGCTGAGTTCACACTGCCTGCAAACCTTGCCTGTCCTTGAGTCAACTTTACTGTGTAGAAAAAACCTGACAGTTGCAGTTATCTCCCTGGCAAGCTGCATGATAGTGTAAAAACATCGAGCATGGGTAGAGCCTTCCCACTCAAAAGCATTTCTACATTTCTGCAACTGATGATCCCAAGACTTCCATTGAACTCAAATATTATTTTGAAACGTATAAACAATATTTTCACCAACAGTGGAAGTTCAGAAGTCTGTTGTCTCAGTTTCCACCTTCAATTCTGCAAAGACAGTATATTCCTGGTGAGTTACTGAGGTGGTAGCAGACAAGCAGAACAGTAAACTGGGTCTCTCATGCTCATCCCTCAGCTCCAGTCATTAACACGTTTGCTCTGCTCACTGCTGCACTGAGAATAGATTTTTTTCCTTCTTTTCTTTTAACAGGAGTGGATTTGTGAATTAGACACACACAGAGTCTGGCAAGGTCGTACCACAGGATTCTGAATTACAGTTGCTTTTGAAAGAGAGAAACACGTATCTGATCAGTCTGACCCTCCACCAAGCCCAACACACACTTCTACAAACACAGCCATTTTGAGGCCATTTTGGGAGACAAAAGAGCTGTTTGACTTCAAGACTAAGATGAAGCTTTCAAGTAGGTATCCCAGCATGTGACCAAGTTTCTGTTCAGAACGATTTAGCCTAAGGCTACCCTAAGGTGGTGATTCCTCTTTTAGACCACAAAGAAATAAATGTATTGGTCTTCCAAAAGAACCTTGTGCAAAACCCTACGGGACACTGCCCAGCCAGGACATCTCAGAGTATCATTCAAGTCAGTGCTCTTTTCTGTAATGCTGGTAGAGCTGCAGATGTGCAGCTTATAATACTTGCAGTAATCTCTGACCACAGCATATGACTTCACCCAGAGTTTGCATCACCCATCGACATTTTTCATACCTTTTGCTCTACCTGCACCTCTGAGTTCATCTATTTTTATGTCTTCATAAATCAAACAACACAGCTCTTTGCTGTGATTATATTGAAATAAAGCCCTCTTTTTTTATCACAGTACTTTGCTTGCCCTCCACCTCTGGTTCTCAGCAGGTTCTCAGATGCCTTGTTTAGGCTTTCAAAGCCTCACAGCATACTCTGAGAAGAATACTCATCTGTCCTGAGGCTACAAGATACTAACTCTGCAATAATACAATATATGAAACTACAAGTTCAGCATCCTTTTTTAACTTTCTATGTAGAGCTGAAGAGGAACTAGGGCTGCTGAATTAACCTGTAAGTTTATACATCACATTACTTGTAATCTGGACTGTAGCTGCCTCTTGGTACTTCATGTCGAATTATCCTTTCAGGGCTAGATCCTCACCTGGTATTTTCCCTGCAGTTTAACCATTCCAGTGAGGCTGGCTGGCTGTAAATCAGTGAAAACTCATCCCTTTTTTTCTAAACACACACACACAAAGAAGTGCAACTTTCTATATCTGATTTTTTCTTTGATTTTTATTTCTCCAATCCTTTATATAGTCATTATAGATGTTAAGAAGCCTGTTTTGGAAATGATTAATGTTATTAATAATTTTCTAATTCAATAAAACCTCTCATCTTCGAACTCCTTGCAATATTTTTCTGCTTTCTTCAGCTTTTCACTAATTCAAACATATGACAAATGCGAGTCTTCGTTTCAGTTTTCTATTATTTCTCATGTCTGATCAAATAAATTAACAGACTTTCATTTCTTTCCCAGGAGTGATGCCCATATGTTGATGAAAGTAGTATAAAAATATTACCTGTTCAAACGGGGGGGGGGGAAGAGATAGAAGTTACCTTTTATTCACTGTTTCATGCAAAACAGAGCCGCTGATCCCGTTGCTTTCTCCTTGATAGCGCCCGCTATGCTCAACGGTAAATACTGCAAGATTTGCAGAACACCCATCGGTCTGGTTTAACTGCACTGTATTATAATGTCCCTTTTCAATCTCTTCATACAGTAGCAGTTATTTTAATCACCCCACAGTACTTCAGTCACTGGGAAAGAATCTGCTGTCCTATCTAATGTGCCCGCTCCCCAGTCACCCGGCACCAGCCCGGCAGAGCAGCATCCTGCTAATGCAGTTTGCTCTGTTTGGATAGTTAAAGATACATCTCCAGGCCAATTTGTACCTGTGTATTGTTGATAGACAGCGTGCCCCAGGCAGAGAGATACTGCGTGCAGGAAATGGATTCTCATTTAACCGTGCTTAATTTTGTTCCCTGGATCTCCATCATACATCTTTCCATTTCTCTGCCCACCCAAATTGCTAATGTGAAACAAAGCTGCTTCCGCCACTACAGCTCCTAAACTGATGTGTGACGATGCAATGATTGATTTCCCACTCCAGGAAAAGTGGGTCATTGTACATGTTGTACCACAGCAGGCTGAACCAAGCTGGACGTGCTGACATTGGGGTTTTACAGATTTGTTTTAAGTTCAGACCTGAGGGGACTACTGTGGATATCCAGCCTGAACATTTCTGGGTTTTGATGGGAGCACTGCCATTCTAAAATCTTCTTTAGCAGCTTAGACAGATCTGAAGTCATCTGTGCTCCTCAGGAGACAGTGTTCTGATTATGCATTTTGTATCTTACTTGCACGTTTGCTCTGAGGATGGAAAATGCAAAACTCTTCCAATTCCAAGATACGGGGGCAGTTTCAGTTTTGTCATTTTCCAGGATATAAAACCCTAAACTAAATATATTTTTAATAGAAAATGGTGCAATTAACAGCTTTTGCGAAGGATTTTGAATCACGGAGAAAAATACTGATGCAAACTGCTCTTTGAAAAAATCCATTGCTTTTATTCTTCTTTTGTGAGATTACTTTTCTCAAGTAATAAGACCTGTTGAAACTCACTTGAAGATTGAAACACTTTAAGATTGCCTCTTATGATACCAGGGAGATATAATTTGAAGAGACATGTCTCAGTACTGGGGTAGGACCTGCCTACCTATCTGTTGCATTAGATCAGCAAAGTTGGAATCAATTGCTGAAAGGGGAATGTTTTGCAGGTTTTTCTGAGCAGCCCAATAAGTAACTGAGCACAGATGTCACTGTAGAATCCAAAAGGTCAAGGTACGTGGGGATTTGAGTTTTGATTTGAAAAAAATCAGGAAAATATAGCTCTTAAAATTGTAGCTTTGTTTTTATGAGGGTTGAAACAAACCTCCAAACCCTGCCTGTTTTGGGGAAATGATTTAACGAACAGTAAGTTGGATAAGACCTTTTTCCAGGGCCTATAAATTTTTTCTTTGCTTTAGATAAATCCTTATGCCAGTGACTTCGCTGCTCTTTGCAGACCCCAATGAGTGGTAAGGACAGAGAACATCTAATCAGGTCCTTAAATCCTTACACTGGTAAAACCCCTAGTGGGGTCACAGTTATGCCCAGTAAGGACTGCACTTTTAACTTCCAGCTGTAACTTTTGGCAGGCATGACCTGGGATGTGGAGAGAAAGTCAAAGGAAAGCCTACACTTGCCTCCTGATGAGGGACCCTTTGGCTGCAGCATAATCCACTGACTTGGCACCCTGGGCTGTGTGGTTAAACTGGATGGACACAAAGCTACACTCTTTCAAAACAGTCAGGATGCAGCATGGTAAGTACCCAAGTCCTGAGGGCTCTGCTCTAGTGATCCCTAAGCTGAGGAAGGGGGATAGAAAATCACCACCATTCCAGAAATGGCTTCTGAATTTTCCTACTCTGTTCCTTCTCCTGCTGCCCGCTTCTTCTCCCTGGGAAACACAACAAATGTGGAAGGTTTGTAGGTAAGCAGAGAGGAGCTGGTCACAGCAAAGGACAGAGCCAGAGCTGAAGATACCACTCACTGATAAACCCAGCCAAACCCTTTCCCTTCTGAAACAGAATCCCTGTAATGGAAATAATTACCAAAGAAACAGACAAAAACTACTCCTGAATGAAATTTAAGCTTCAGCAGAGCACAGCACAGCCAGGAAATACCAAGTACAAGCAACCGTCCCTTCATCCTGAATTCACACCAATTTCTGCTTCTGTTTCCTGTGCAAAATTATCAGTCACTCAAAAGCTGCTGCCCAGGGGGGCTGTGGATGCAGGGTGGCTTGGGACAGCCTTCACCTGACTTTGCATAAACACCTGACAACTACCTCATTTTGAGGTGGCTCTCTGGAAATGCGTGGCAAAATGCACAGTATTGGAGGCAATTCTGTGGGATGCTTCTGGCAATACCCAGAATGATGTGCATTCCTTGGGGAGCAAAAACTATGCGATTCTGGGGTGGTGGAGGTGGATGTGTCTCTTGCAATACCCCAAAAGATAAATATTATTAGAGGAGGAAAAAAAATCAGTCTGATTTTGATGAGAATCTCTGGCAATTCCCAGCACAGGATTGAGCTGTGTCGTGTTGTGGGGGGAACCTCAGAGTGCGCAGAGTGATACAGGATATGGAAGGGTATGGAAGTGATACAGGGTATGGAAGTGATACAGAGAATGGAAGTGATACAGAGAATGGAAGGGGACAGAGAATGGAAGGGGACAGAGAACTGTGTGATTTCGGGGGGTTGGGGTGGGGGACACCTCTGGCAGTCCCCAGAGTGATGCACACAACTGGAAGTGGTGCGGGGGGGAGCACGGGGGCACACGGACACCCCTCCCCAATCCCAGGGCCCCCTGCAGCACGCGCGAGGCACAATGACACGAGTAACTCCAAACAGGCACCGCTGGAAGTGAGAGCGGAATCCGAAATTCCAAACGGCGGATCGCCGCGGCTCGGCGCTCCCCAAACCCGACCCCTCCAATACACGCACACATAACACACACACACATACAGAGGCTGCGGTGCGGGGCGCGCGCACACGAGCGCGCCCCCGCCCTGCCGCCGCGGCCGCTTTAAGGGCGGCGGGGGCGCGCCGCCGGGGCGCCCGGCGCGCTGCCGCCTCTCTTCGCCTCGCCGCCAGCGCGCCGCGCTCCCGCTCCCTCTCTCTCTCCCTCCTCTCCCTCGCCCCGCTTTAAAGTCTCCGCCAGGATCCGGGCTCGCCCGCCACTTCCTGTACGGCAGGATGGAGCGCGCCGGGGCCCCGGCTGCCCGCCGCCCGCCCGGCCGTGCGCGGAGGCGGCTGTGAGCGCCCGGTCGGTCCGCGGCATGCGGCGCGCCCCGCTGCCCGCCTGAGCCGCGCACACACCGCGCGGGGGGGTCCCCGCGCCCCGCCGCCGCTCCTCGCTGTCCTCCCCCTGCCCCGCGCTTTGCGGGATTTTTTTTTTCCGTCCCCCCACGTTGAGGAGGCGAGCAGGAGCCCCCCAGCTTTCTCCCGCAGGAAGAAGGGGTGCGGGGAGAAACTTATTTTCAACAAGTTTTTTTTTTTTCCTCCTTTTTTTTTCTTTTTTTTCCCTCCCCTTCTCATCCCCTTTTCCCTCCCTCCCCCCTTCCCCCGTGTTAATTATTTTAGCCCCTCTCCCCTTTCGATGTGCGGCTTTGGACATGCGGAGGCTACTGCAACCGTGTTGGTGGATCTTTTTCTTGAAAATCACCAGCTCCGTGCTCCATGATGTGGTGTGCTTCCCCGGTAAGTGAGCGCGGCGGATGGGGGGGCTCCCGGTGCCTCCGCCACACGTGTCCGCGACCCCCGTGCGGTGCCGGCGGGGCACCCCGCGAGTGCGGAGGATGCGCCGGGGAACCGCGGGGGCCCCTTCGCCCAGGCGGCCCCAGCGCTGGGTCTCCCCCCGCTCCGCAGCACCCTCCGGGCTGCGGGCAGCGCTGCCCGCGAGTGGGGCCGTGAGCGGTGCCCGGGTTCGGCTCCGCGCTCCCGGCGCGGTGTCCCCTCTCTCCGGTGCAATGCAGCCTCCGGCGGCGTGGGGCTGGCGGAGGGGGGGTTCCTCGCACGCAGCCCTTCTTCCGTGGGGCTGCCTGGAGCTCCCTTTGTGCTGCGGGACCGCCGCTCGCCGCCCCGAAGGGCAGCGGGACTCCGCGCTCCGACCCCGCGCTGCAGCCCCGCGCCCCTCGCCAGAAACTTCGCGGTGCCTGGTCCGCGCCCTCCCCGCCCCGCTCCTGTCCGCGGTGGGTGTCTCGCCGTGCCGCGTGCTGACCTTGGCAGGGCGGGGGGGCCGCGGGGCTGCGCCCCCGCCCCGCTCCTGGGCTGGGTCTGTGCGGCCACCACCGCACACCCGCCGCGGGAGAGGGGCTGCGGGGACGGGGGGCTCCGAGCGCCCGCCGCGCTGTCCACCCCCCACTTCGCACCGCACGGCCGGTGTCCGCGCATTCCTTCTCGCCCCGCATCGAGCTGCAGGGGCCGGGTGTGCGCTCGCCCGCGTTGGGACCCGCGTCCCCCCGGCGCGGCCCCGGCCCGGGGGAACTCTCGGGGCTCGGGGCTCCCGCCGCCTCCCCGCGCATTTCCCGGGCCGCCCTCCAGGGGCGCTGTGGCGCCGCCGGGAGCCCCCGCGGGGCGCGCGCCCCTCCGCGGGCGCGCAGCGCGGGCCCCGCCCGGCGCGTCCCCGGGACACGCGCGTGTCC